CCAGTTCTACACATCTACTAGAAACACTTGCCCTTTTTTGCTAAATAAAGATTGTGAATTTGAGCACTTATATCCGGTCTGATTTTGTACGACAAACTCAATTAGAGTATAGGCAGAAGTACAAACCATGGGTTATCCTTGAGCCTCCATTTAGAGGGCTTCATCTGACATATTTTGAGGAGAGTTCAGGAGCTGGAAAAAGACCATAGTAACCTAGAGTCTAATGTAAACCAAAGACAAAATATTATGTACTAAAATACTGATCACTGCTATTTTTAAAACATTGTTCTTTTTTTATGCTCATAAGACTGTTTTGTGATATAATAAATCTTGGAGCCAATTGTGTAATTATTGGTAATAAATTAGGGTCCATATGAGACATAGAAATCCAAAAAAATTGGAATAAAATATATGGATCTGAAAATTTCTTGCTTTGGATGTAATGGTTTTCTATCTCCTCAAAGTACTATTATTACCACTATGGTCATGGTTGTCTACCTATTCCAGTGATTCTGTAAACGTACCTGATCTGTAGGTGGTCATGCTTTTCTCTTTGGCCATTTGGCAAATTTATGAATACCAATTGAAATTGTTCTTTTTTTACAGTTTGCTTTCTCTGCAATTGGTATCTTGTCGTTTTGTTACTTTACACTTGCGATTAATCTTTGAATTTTATACTCGACATAAAATCTGCTGGTTGTCCTTACAGTTCCTGATGATTACCAACTTCATGACAATCTCTATTGATACTTTATACTCGGACAAAGTTTAGCAAAAATTTTTTTCCATCTACTAAAAAAAAAATCATTGTCTCTCCTCAAATTCCTTTGACTAACACCACAGTATTTTTCATGTGACATTGCATATTATGTAAAGTTTGCAAGAAAGTTGAGGAATTTCTGGATATGGAATACAGTACATGGTCCTGTTGACTCCGAGATTTGTTGTTCAACTATTATGCTTGTTAGCCCGGCATGGCCAGGTGGTTAGGGTGTTTGACTCGCTGCGGGTTCGAATCCCCATCACACCAAACATGCTCCCCCTTTCAGCCGTGGGGGCATTATAATGTGACGGTCAATCCCACTATTCGTTGGTAAAAGAGTAGCCCAAGAGTTGACGGTGGTGACTAGCTGCCTTCCCTCTAGTCTTACACTGCTAAATAAGGGACGGCTAGCGCAGATAGCCCTCGTGTAGCTTTGCACGAAATTCAAAAGAAACATTTATGCTTGTTTGTGGTAAAACAGCCTTCATATACAGGGTAGACCCAAATAATAAAACAGCAAACCTTCCTTCGTAAATAATGCTGAAATGACCAATTTGTTTTTATTCCCTTCATTACCAGCAGTATTTACTTTATTGTATTATATATATAGTAATTTTGTTTTTACCTGTCATAATAGCCAGTGTGAATAACTGACTGAAAATTTGATTAAAGTCACTAATTTTGTATGTAAAATATGCAGGAAATACTATCAGAAATGAGTAGATTTGGAATAATGATGATATTTTGTGTTATTAGTGACTTTGTAACCAACAAATTCATGGATCCAAAAACAATTTGGTGTGTAAATAATTTAGAAAATGTGATCAAAAGCAGGAGGGATCAACATGAACCTTATCAATAGCTGTAATGAGATAATAACCGAGTTCATCTAACATTACCAATTGTTGTTGTGGTTTGTTGAATTTCGCACAAAGCTACTTCAGATCTCTGTGTACTAGCCAATCTAAATTTTAAAGTGATAGCTAATCAACACTACCTACCACAAATTTGTGGGCTACTCTTAATCGAATGACGAATAATGTACCCATGGACCAAAATTTTGACACTTTTTTTTTTTATTAATAGTGGGGTGTGAAACATGGAACCTTAGATCCACAGTCCAGCATACTATATATTGGACTGTGTTTGACCCTATCATATAAACATACATTCCCATATAAAAAAGCCACATGAAATACAACAGAATAGCATTTCACGAAGGGATATTGTTGTGGTCTACTCTGTTTATATGTGCATGTATGATAATAAATGTGTTTTTCTTACACTACATTCTTTATTGTTGTTTTCTTCCAATTAAAAAAAATATCGGATGTAAGAACAATAACTTACATACACCATATAGGTGGCAAAAATGGGAGGATTGGGTGTTCACTAAAAGATGGTAATTTATGCCCCTGCAATTATTTACACAACATACTGCATAACCAAAATAAAAAATTTGGGGTGGATGTATAGCACCTATCTTAATGAGACAAGTGGTCAGTTACAATGGTATGGGTAAGGATTTTTTGTTTTGTACACTGTTATTAAGTAATTTCAACCCGTATCATTGTTTGACTAATGTAAAGTTAAGAAAACGATCATCAGATTTCAGAACATTTATTTTGCTGTATGTTTCACTTAGGTCTACGTTATTGCCTATCAAATCGTATTTAGAACAAACAACAATTTCTAAATCACATGTGATAAGTTTGAAAGAGAGTAAAAACAAAAGCCCCCACTTATTATTTATTTACAAAGCATAAAGTCCCCCAACAAGACAATGAGATACCATTTTTCTAACCCATTATCGGTAATGGATGATTATAATCAATTAAATAATCCACCTTTAACTAAGTAATATGCATTTTGTTCCAAAATAAATAATACGTACATTCTAGCAGTTACTTTCAACTTCAAATCACTTTCGTAATCAAATCACAATATATTTCTCTCTCTCCCCCTCACTTTAAAGAAAGTAGTATTAACATGAATATACTACCAGTTGCCATAAAATATCCAGTTACTGATACACTCATCTCTTGATCATAAACTGAAACTGAATGGCACTCTAAAAATATCATAAGTATATCAATATAAAATATCCAGTTACCAATACACTCATCTCTTAGCATGGAAGGGGGGAACACTGCTCCCCCCCTGGATTTTCAAAAAGACAAAAAAAATTACTTGATATGTTAAATTCTTCTTCTATGTTATTGGAAAATCATAAGGTATTTGAATTTTGCTATTATTTTTTCTGCAGGTGCCCTTGTCTCTTGGTATCATATGAATATCATATATTGAAGCTGATTGGCACTCTAAAACTATCATAATAATTATATCTACATAAAATATCTAGTTATGAATACACACGTTTCTTGATCTCACAAGTAAATTAAAACTGAATGTCACTCTAAAATCAGTATAATAAGTATATCTACATCAAACATCCAGTTACTAATACATTCATCTCTTTATACAATTGATACTTGAAACCGTCAGAACTTGGAGAAACAAAAAATTGTACGTTTGACTAGTACTTCGCGTTTTACTAGGACCACAGTTCCGCCTGTACCCGATAATGCCTTTACTGGCACTACGACCACAGTTCCGCCTGTACCCGATGATGCCTTTACTGGCACTACGACCACAGTTCCGCCTGTACCCGATGATGCCTTTACTGGCACTACGACCACAGTTCCGCCTGTACCCGATGATGCCTTTACTGGCACTACGACCACAGTTCCGCCTGTACCCGATGATGCCTTTACTGGCACTACGACCACAGTTCCGCCTGTACCCGATGATGCCTTTACTGGCACTACGACCACAGTTCCGCCTGTACCCGATGATGCCTTTACTGGCGAAAGCATGGTCGTAGTAAATGAGGTATTTGTGAAACATACAATTGTCTTGTTTTTCCTCAATTCATCTCTTGATATCACATGAATATGGTAAATTGAAACTCAAAAGTTACTCTAAAAAATATAATAATAAGTATATCTCTACATAAAATAATAAGTATATCTCTACATAAAATAATAAGTATATCTCTACATATAATAATAAGTATATCTCTACATAAAATAATAAGTATATTCTACATAAAATAATAAGTATATCTCTACATAAAATAATAAGTATATCTCGACATAAAATAATAAGTATATCTCTACATAAAATATCCAGTTATCAATACACTCATCTCTTGATATCACATGAATATAGTGAATTAAAACTGAATTTCACTCTAAAACTATCATAATAAGTATATCTACATAAAATATCAGTTACCAATATCACCCAAAAGTAGCATATTGAAACTGAATGCTTCTTTAAAACTAGCATAATATGTATATCTCTGCATAAAATATCTAGTGACTAATACAGTAATCTCTTATATATCACAGAAATATAGTGTCAATTTTTATTATTTCCTTGGCTTGGATTCAAACCCAAGACCTCTCACACACACCAGGAGATTGCTCTACCAATTGAGCTAAAAATTAACCCTCTAGGCACTTTTTTTAGCAACTCAAAGTACCGTAATAGCAAACTGTAACTGAACGTTAATTTAACACAGTAACTTTCATTTGATACTACAAGATCTAAACCATCACACAGGGCCTAGTTCAATAAATCCTTTCTAACAAAAAATTCAAATATGATAACGAAAAGAACCACAAAACAGAATTTTTTTTTTAGCCAAAAATATTTCATGCAATCAGCAAATGAAATTGACTACAATTCTTTTATAAAAGTTGGAAAAATTCCAAATTCAGACTGTTTGAAGTAGTGATACCCATAATATTTTACTAAAATTTTAAAAGGTTGTTTCT